AAATAATTTTGCACATTTTAACACAACAGTTCACCAATGAAGCTGGACCCAATATTATGAAGATTATTATGGTTCATTTTTTGTAAAAATATACGGCATAGTTACCAACCGTCTCGCATCGTGGGGGACGGTCCCGCATTTCAAAGTGATTTGGGATGAAACACGCATTTTGTAGAAACACATGCGTGATCATAATTTTTCACGCATTTAGAACAATTTTATGCGTGATAACGAATTATCACAAATTCATTGGAAAATGTATTTAAAAAGAAGAAATTTTAAAAACAGCCCTTAGTAGAATCTATATAGTCGCGTGCGGATGCGCGTATATTGTCACAAAATACTTTGATATGTTAAGGAAACTGATCTATACAAAATTAGGTTTATCTAATTAAAAACAGCGTGGAAAAGTCATTAATTCAACTAAGGTAATATGATTAAAATTTTAAGAATCGTAAATAAATCGAGGTCGGAGTAAAATAAATCCCTACAAATTGGACATACACAGCCTACATGTGAAACGTGCCACTTCCAACTACGTGGTGTTTCAGATTTTCACTGCATATTATGTCAATAGACTATGTAAAATTATAGAAAAAGGTAAATAAACATTAATAAATTTAAACATGAAAGAAATAAATGTAGGTCTAGCGCACAATGAAAAACTAAATTTTTACCACAAATGTATATGGCCTATATTATAAATAAATGAAATAATGGAAATTGCGAACAAATAATGACAAGCGCTTTACAATGGGTAGACTCAAAAATAAAAAATCGAGAATTCATAAAATAAGCTATACTGATCTGATTAGGAACAGGGTAGGGAAAGCAATAAATCACTTTGTTGGTTTTAAGAATACCTCCACACTCTTCCGGGTTGAGGAAAAGAAAATTTATGATTATGGCATCTTTAGATGGCCTGAAAAGGCACTCGCAGACGGGAATAAAGATAATTTTCGTTAAACCTATAGAGAGAAGAGGAGTTTTGTACGTGGCGAGTTATTGACATGCAACGGCGGGGAAAAAACTCTCAAATTACTGAAAAAGAGAGGCAGTCCTAGTTGGAAACTGCTATGATTGGTCAAGCATTTTTGGTGGATGGATATCTGGAGCATGTGAGTGTGTGTCTTGAATTTCTGCGCCGGGAAATGTGGACCTTTTGTAATTTGGGTGGGGGGTGTGTACGCACCCGTCGCACCCCCCCCCCCCCAAATTGATTAAATATTTTTATAAGCATCTGAGCAATTTCTTCTGATGCCAGTCAGATGAAGAAAAGCATACGTAAATACCTAATGGAAGAAAATAATCTTGATTTTATTCAACAGATACGAAGCTGTTCATGCACTTGCAGTGTCCAGTGGTAAATTGTAATGAATATAATCTATAATTATGGCCTCTAAAACCTGATATTATTAAGGAGAAATTTAAATAGGAATTTTAAAAAATATATTTTAGATCTAAAGTATATGCCTATTGAATGGGCCCCCCAATAGCCTCAGGCCCCAGTGTTTTGCACTGGGTGCACTGCCTATACCTACGCCACTGACTGGCATAATTGGACAGGGACGTAGCCAGGATTTTGAAAGGGGGGGAGCCGTTACCGAATTACGTATGACCCCGGCGGGGTCAAGGGGGCGAATCCCCCTGTGAAGTAGCGCACTCTGAACGTTCTTAGGACTGTTTGAGAGGATAAAGTGAAAATTGCAATACACGCATTATAAATAAGCGAAAAAATAATTATATAATAATCAACAGTGGCAGATCCAGAAATTCGAAAGAGAGGTGAACCAGGGAGGGACTTTCACAGACCGAGGAACCACCCACCTCAGCCCCACCATGGTTGGGGCTGAGGTAAGAAAATTTATGATTAGGGCATCTCTAGATGGCCGTAAATTACACTCTCGCACTTCAATTTGAATGTACTCTCGCACTTCAATTTGAATATATTTTTCTTTTTTTCCC